ACGGAATATGAATAGGGAATTATCACTCTTGCTACACACAAAACCAATCTGAAGAAGATAATTAGCAAAACGTTGGTACCATGCCCTAGGCGCCTGTTTAAGACCATACAAAGATTTACGGAGCCGACACACAAAATGAGGAAACCGAGGGTCCACAAAACCTGGTGGCTGATGCATAAATACAGTTTCTTTCAGATCCCCATGAAGAAAAACATTTTTGACATCAAGATGATGAATGGGCCAATCCTGTAATACCCCGTATTTTCATACGTATTTTCTAATTAATTATTATTTTCTAAAAAGGGTATTTTAGTAATTCAATTTACTATTTAAATCTTGGAGCCAAAATGATATTTGAATTTTGGCGCCAAAAGTATTTTGAAAACTAATCATTATTTTGGATAAGATTTATCATCCATTTATCCTATTTTAAAAACCGGATTATTTATATATTTCGGATATTTTAATTAAGGCAAAAGCTATATTTTATTATTATTTTAATAAGTCCGAAAATCCCATTTATTTAGCTAATAATTTCAGATTTTCTTATGTATAAAATCTGATTTTATTAGTTAAATTATTTGGTGAATATTTAGTATTTTATTATTTAATGATTTATTACAATAAATATTATTTACATAATTATTTTTAATTCCTTTAAACTAGCAAAATATATTCCTAAATACTAAATAGGAAGGCCGAAAATATGAGCTTAGGAAAGTTCAATAATTTCGGCCATCCCATAAAGATTTTGGGAAAATATTTTGGTAATTTGTATTTTTAATTATCTCCCTTAAATATCCTATTTTCCATAATTCTAATTCTCCATCTTTTTGATATCCAATTATTATATTTTCTTGCCATTCATTCTTCTTAATTATTCCCCAAGCAATGCCAATTTCCTTAACATTTTTTATGACATACATACCTTCCATATTCAATTATACACAATCCCTTCAAATATCAAAACTTTCCTTAAATCTTTGCTCACTTCTCCAAGTAATCTCTTAAACCATAATTACCATAATTCTTCCTATATTTTCCTACCATAATTCATGCTCATACTAGCCTATAAATACCCCTTCACACCTCTCACATTCTTCACACCAATTCTCTTCTTTTTCTTCTCCTTAATTTTACACAAATCATCCCATTCATCTTTGAAGCCAATGTTCGGGCACTTATGGTCAGTTTTTGTGGTAGTGACGTTTCATAGAAAGTTGTTCCTATCGAAAAATACTTGAGGTTAGACTCAAGAATCACCCAATTTGAAGCTATATCAACGGAGTTATAGCCTCTGAAAGTTCTGCCTTTTATTTCCTACGCAAATCCAAATCTTTTCTTCTCCTTTTCTTTTATTCAATTATTATTATTATGGGAGATTAATATAAAATTATTATGATTAGTTTTAATTATATAAAATCAGATTTTAATAATGTTCATGTTGAATTAATTTAAGAGGTTCATGTACATTTAGTTGGGAGAGTTTAATTTAATTATTTGTGATTATTTGTTAACCTTATATTGATTAAGGTTATATTTATTTGTAGGGTGTTTTTGATCAAGCTACTTGAGAGTTCTTTTGAAGTGTTGTTGGCTAAGTGAAGATCAAGGTACGTTAGGTGGTTAGATACCTTGAAAGTGATCGATTTGAATAACATGATTTTATGATGAATTGAATTAAATTGAATTGAATTATGGTTTATGAATTAAAAGTATGTTTAAAGGATTGGTTTTAATAATTAAATTGGAGTATTGAATTTTATAACATGTTTTGATTAATTAATTTATTATTCATGTTTAAAAAGGATTGATTTTGAAAGCAAGTTGGATTTATGGAAAAGGAGTTTGGATTGTTTTCATTAAATGTTGAATTATTGGATTTAAAAGAGGATTTATTGAATCATGGATTTATTATTATTTATGCTTTATAAGCATGTTAGTAATCCCACTATGGGATTTGGTTTATTGATAAGGCCTTGGACTTTGCATGACCGGGTCTTTCCTCAAGAATAGCCTTGTAACATAAGGAGACTAGCTTGGGGGGTGTGCACACTTGGGAGAGGAATTGCTTTTAATATGAGGAATTGGTTTTTAAATAATTTGAATTGGTTTTATTGATTATTGATATTGGAATTATTGAGAATTTGTTTTAAACCATGAGTTTGGAATTATTTATTGGAAATTGGTTTTAAAGCATGTTTGCGAATAAATTGAGTTTAATTATCTTGCACTTATCGTACTTAGCATATTTTGCTAACTCGTACTTCTTATTTGTTTTGGTTCGCCCTGTTTACCATAATGGTAAGCAGTGTTGCTTATTTTCAGGTTGGAGTCAATAAATGATGCATTGGAGTCCCGGGATTGGTTTTCACTAAATTAGGAATTTGGTCTTGTATCTATTTGGAGTACTCATAACATTGGTTACTATTATGGTTATTATTAATAAGGAAGATTATTGAAGTTTCCGCTGCTAAGTATTGGTTTATTTTTAGTAAGTTGAGTAGCCTTGCGTATTCACGCTGCGGTAATACGCCTAAGTCTATCTCTACGGTATAATTATACGTATTATACTAGTATTTTCGTAGAGGGAGATTTGGGGGTGTTACAAATCCCTCCCCATAGCAATGCTTAAAACTGTACGAATAGTCGCCGACTTCACTACCGGACTAAACGTCTCATCACAGTCAACTCCAACCTGTTGAGACTTGCCATTCACAACAAGTCTCGCCTTGTGTCTCTCCAAGTCACCATTTTCCCTGTATGTGTGCTTAAATAACCACATGCACCGAATAATATTCACCCCTTCCGGTCTTGGAACAAGTTCCCAAGTATCCTGTTTCTCAAGAGCATTATATTCCTCATTCATGGCGGCATTCCAATTTGGATCAAGCATGGCTACTTTGGGATTTTTTGGAATAGAAGAAATTGCTTGAGCCGAGCAATTATACTTAGGATTCGGTTTGAAAATCCCACTTTGAGCACGAGTAGTCATGTTGTGTGAGGGAATAAAGGGAGGGCGTGTATGAGGATTGGTGATAGGAGTTGCGGGAAATGATCCAAATTGGATCAAGGGTGATGTGGGAGATGTGGGAGTAGTTGGCAGTGTGGGCCGCTGAAGAGGAGTGGCCTGCTGGCTGATGCGCGACCCACTTGCGAAAAGGGCTGGGAAGGAGTATGAGGGGAATTAGGCGGGTTGGGTGGAGGGGAAACTGGGCCGACAAGATTGGGTTGAGGTGCTGGGCCGGTCTGTGGTTGGACTAGAAATGGTGCCACAAGGGGGAGATGGGTTTGTCCAGAAACCCATAATCAGATTCACGAAAATTGGAGAGGTTGGAGAATGGGAAATTATCCTCAACAAAAGTGACATGTCGTGAAATTGTGATTTTATTTGTCGATAAGTCATAGCATAGATAACCGCGATGGTTGGAAGGGAACCCCAAAAGACACAAGGTTTAGAACAGGGAGCAAGTTTGTGAGGGGCGGTGGCACTCAAATTGGGGTGGCAAAGACATCTAAAAGTACGTAGGTGATCGTATGTGGGCAACCTACGATAAAACTTCTTGGAGTTTTGTTTTGGATTGTTTTGGATGGTAGAATATTGAGAAGATATGTTTCCATGTGAGTTGCATAAACCCAAAAAGAAGGTGGAAGAGAAGCATGGAAAAGAATTGTGCGAGACATATTGTTGATAGTACGGATCATTCTTTCGGCTTTGCCATTTTGGGAAGAAGTGTTTGGGAAAGAGAATCTAAAGACCATGCCATATTTTGCACAAAAATCATGAAATAGAGAATTATCGAATTCACGGTCGTTGTCAGTTTGGAAAGTTTTAATGTTCCTTTCAAACTGTGTTTTCACAAAAGCACGGAAATTCAAAAAAATATCATAGACTTGGGATTTGAATTTTAGAGGGAAAATCCATAGAAAATGGGAGAAATCATCAAGCAACACCTAATAATATTTATGTCCCAATTTGCTAGTAATAGGAGAAGTCCATAAATCCGCATGAATTATATCGAAAGGGGAAAAGGTTACAGAAGTAGACGACTTAAAAGGGAGTCGTACATGTTTCCCTAATGGACAAGAGTAGCAAAAGGAGACTAAGACTTTTATTACAATTGATATGATTTTTTTTCCTAAGAAAATCAAAAACTGGTGTGTCGGGATGTCCAAGTCTATGATGCCAAGTTGAAGGAGATATCGCAGCTAGAGAGGTGTGAGTTTTTGAAGAGGAATTGGTGGAGAAAGGATAGAGGTCCCCCACACTATTGCATCTCGCTAGAATTGTCCCCGAATGAAGGTCCTTCACACAAAAACCGAGAGGGTCAAATTCAACAAAAACAGAATTATCACAAGTGAATTTTCTAATAGAAATTAGGTTTTTAATAATGCTAGGAACATATAGGACATTCTTGAGTTGGAAAGAAGAGTTAGGTGGGAGAGTATTGGTGGATCCGTAGCCATGTATTGGAATGTGTTTGCCATCACCAACTAGAATATATTGAGGAATGCTCAAATCAAACAGTTTAGAGAGATTACCCGAATCACGAGTCATATGAGAAGTCGCCCCCGTGTACATGTACCAACCATTGTCGGGAGTGTGGAAACCCATGGAACTATAAGCATGGCCGAAATTCGTCGGGGTCATAAGAGGGCCATAACCAGACTGGGCCGGTGAAGCGTAGTATGCCTGGTTTTGAGTTGGGCGTGGGCCCAACAAGGATGGTTGGGGCTGCTGTCCTCTAAACTGAGGATATGGGCTAGTTGGAAATGGGCAGGGGGGAAGCCCAGGTGCCAGAATGTTGTTGCTTCCAAGTGGGTTGGGTACCCCACTGTGGGCCCTGCTGCTGATGGGCTTGAACAAGTGGGCCGTTTGACTGTTGATGGTAAGTGGGGTTTGAATTACGCCCCCTGCCTCGACCTTTTGCATTCGAGTTTCGCCCTCTTCCACGACCTCGTCCACCGCGGCCGGCACCACTACGCTGGTTGTCGGATTGCTATGGGGGCTGCTGTGTGGGCGGCGTAGAGGTGGCGGTGGCCGGAGATTGCTGTTGCGCCATGAGGGCATGATGTCCATGTTCATCTTGCTTGGATTTTCTTGTTTCCTCAAGAAAAAACATAGACCCGGCCTTGCTGAAACTCGGGGTGGGGTCGGTTTGGGAGATCAAAGTAGCAACCGTGTCGTATTCCCCCTTAGTAAGGCCAGAAATCATCTGAAGAACCATCTTCCTGTCAGAGACCGGATTATCAACGTTGCTCAATTGATCGGCAAGAAGCTTGATCTCCTTGCAATAGGCAGCCATATTAGCAAAATTTTCAAGTCTAGTATTGTTGAATTTCTCCTCTAAATACACAGCCCTAGTATGCTTATTGTCATGAAAAACTTCTTCAAGTCGGCTCCATAATTCAAGAGCGAATGCACCTTGTTTCATGATCGTGTGAACGAGGTCTTTGGAGATAGTACCTGTAGACACCTAAAAATTTCTCCCCAAACCCAAACCCGTTGATGAACACCTTTCACCGCCATTATTGGTCGAGTTGAGTATTTAAACTTTGGAGTGCTTAAATCCATTGTAACACCCCAATAATTCTCCCTTTTCCAAACCACTTACTTTAAATAAAAATGGAGGAGAACCATTGGCATGTTACCGCCACGTGTTAAAACGTTAAGGTTTTATCAAAGTATCGCAGCGGAAATCCAACTTAAATATTAAAATAATATAGTTTAGAAACCAATAAGTCAAAGCTTACAAATTGGAACCATAAAGGCCCTTATTAAAACCAAACCAATATTCAAAATCCCAAAACATAATTAAAATAGTAAAACATAAATAAGTTCAACACAAAGAACGAATACTCTCAATCACACCAATCCCTTGACAATGCGTATGTCAAATCCCCGAACTTCACATCATCAAACTAACTTGTGCAATACTGCTCCCCAATAATACAAGTGTAATAATTGGATCATCACAGGGTCATTGAAAGGCGAAGGCCATGACCAAAAGAAAACACACAAAAGCACGCAATCAGCAAAGCTGAGTACATACAAGCTACAACGCACAAAACCTAGCATGCTCAACTAATTTAAGTAAATAAACATACAACACGAATTCATTAATCAAGACTCCACACTTAAACAATTCAATCGACTCAACATATTTGCTAATCAAATCCAAACACTTGACTCTTTATATTTAATTTAATTAATTTAATTTGGAGTAAGCAATAGACGAGGTTGTCCAATCCACCAAATCATTTTGGTCCCAAATGACCATTTAAAATAAAAGTTTAGCGCGATGCAAGAATGGGCGAGACTCCATTCTCACAAAGTTAGTCTAGGATCCCATCTAACTTTCATTATAAAAATAAAATGTAAATACCAAAAGAAAATAGGACATGTTGATCAAACAAGCCTCGGAAAGCCACGGGATACCACCGTGTACCCCAACCCATAATTGTCAATACTCTAGAAGTGCATGCTTTCCAGAGTTTTAATGCTCATCCATGTTTCACTTTACGTGATTACAAATTTAATTAATAGCCGACTCAATCAAGTAGAACATACATAAAAATCATACATCAATTCACTTTTAATCTTATTTAGGACAATGGTGATCACATCACAAGTTGACCTTTAATTCCATTAAACTTCCAAATTATTCAAAATTATTGAACATAGTCAACCCACCTAGCCATTTCGGCTTAATCCACCTTTACTCAACATACTAACAAGTCATGATTGAGTAATAAATAAATAAATAATAACCTTGTGGAATAATTAATAAATTCATTCCACTTAAACCATGCATTCAAATCCAATCCTTTAATAATCCAAATGTGGTTAACAAACCAATCCAATAAAATATGTTTGTATCAACATTCAATACAAACAATTAATCCAATATAATTCAACATGTTTGCATCCATAATTCCATACAAACATAATCAAATCACCAAAACATATCTCATAAACATAAGCACATGAATTAATTAAATTTATAACCAAACAATTTTCATCCAAGTGTTCTCTAATCATGGAACTAAGTTCTTTTCTTTGGTACCTAAACATGATACTACTTACAACGAAGTAGACATGTACGTACCTCGTATAAACAATCTTTTGTGCCACTTTTAATCACTTAAAAGTCTCCTAAGGAATAATCAATTCCTAGAAAACAACCAACAACAATAAATTAATACTTAACCAAATTTCCAGCAATATAATTTAGATTAAAAGTTCTTAAAACTCCATTAAAAACATGTTTTTATGGTTAATAATGAATTATAAATACAATAGGAACAAAAGCCCCAATTTAATTAGTCATTAGAACCCTAAAATCCCAATTTGATTAAATTAAAACCCTAGGTTTATAAATTATAAAATCTGAAAATTAAATCAACATTATAATCTGAAAATTATAAGTTTAAGCTATCAAAAACATGAATTTGATACTAAAAATATGAACTTTATACCATAAAATCAAAACATAAACAAAATTAATACTTTCAAGCAAAATAGGAAAACAAAAGAGGGGAGAGAAAGGGGGAAAAAAAAGAAAGGAAAAAAAAGAAAAAGGAAAGAAAAAGAAATAAAAAATAAAAGAAAAGAAAAATAAAATAAAGGAGTAAGTAAATAATACTAACCTTTTGTGTGGGAAAATTTTTGGGGATGTATGGGGTATTTATAGGAGAGAGAGTGGTGTAGGGTAAATAGTAAGATTGGGCCTCATAAAATTAATGGGCCAATTAGGAAAGTAAAGTGGGTTAGGCTTTGATTGTTTGGACATGAATCATAGAATGAATGTATGTATAAGAAATTTGTACCAAAATAATTTTCGACCCAAAATTAAAAATTGAAACTTTTGAAATTAAATTCCGGAAAAATACAAATAAATATTATAAATAAAATATAATTTCATTTATAATATATTTAAAAATACGGGGGATTACATCCATTTTCTATCCAACATATTTCATGAACCAACCAATTTCTAGCTCATTTCCCTAAACCATAACCTATTTTCAACTTTTCGTGTCCACATCGCAAAACTGAGAGAAACTGATTTTATGGCTATACAATTTTGATCCAATTATTATTTTGTTGGATAGGCCTTTAAATAAGCTTTCCAACCATATATCACCAACCATATTATGGCACGGGAATCTTTGTCGTGTCACGGCAGTCCTAAAATCAATCTGGTGGCTTATTTTCTCTTCTCACAGTTAACTTCCTTTGATTTTTCTGAAAAAACATATGTGTTCTACATACGTCTTAGCCCCGGGGGATTTAAGCTCTATCAACCCAAAAACGCTCATGGCAATAAGGGTTCATCCGAGTTATTAAATCCAACCAAACCATGGAGTCGAGTTCGATTTCATCACGAACTCGCGGAGCCGCCCGTTGGCATACACCCTCAAGGGAGGCTGCCTTGCTAACGCGTCCAAACTCTTAACCATGGTACCCTATTGACACCAAATAAACTTGACCATAGTCGAACATAGAACTTGACCGTAGGTTGCGAACTATTCTTTGCATCATTGTGCCTACATGTTTTATGTTTGGTCGTTTTGATCCTATCCTTAACGATCTTTCTTTGTCTATGGTGGATTATTTTATGACTAACGATTGCCAACGGACCGTACTCACTTAGTAACTAGCAAAAAAAAAAAAAAAAAAATCTGCCGCGCCACGGGAAACTCTACCGTGTCACGGTGGAAATTTGCCGTGACACGGTGGATTTTCAAAAAAAAAAAGAAAAAAAAAGGGGGAAGGGTTGCCGCGACACGGGACTGTCCACCGTGGCGCGGTGGACCTGCAACAACAAAAAAAAAAAAAAGTCTGCCGCGCCACGGGAAACTCTACCGTGTCACGGCAAATTTCCACCGTGACACGGTGGATTTCCAAAAAAAAAAAAAAAAAATCCCGTGCCACGTCAGCATCCACCGTGGCACGGGAAACTCTATCGTGTCACGGAAAATTTCCACCGTGACACGGTGGATTTTCCAAAAAAAAAAAAAACGCGTCAGTCAAGTCTTCCGTGTTAATTCGGTCCTCGCGTCAGTCATTTTGGTTATTGTTCACATGTCTAGCCATACGATCATACCACGAGTCTTATAACATCACTTAGTCACTCACGAGTCAAGTATAGTCCACACACTTTCTTTATGTTCCGACTCGAGTCGTGCACCAGGTCGTTTATGATCGTATATTAGGTTCATGCACCCTTTTTTCGTCATAATAAAAAAAAAGTGAGTGGAGTTTTCTCACCTGTTTTCAAATGTCTATTTTTTTTTCCTTCCTTTCCTATCTTGAGCAATGAGTCAAACAATTAAGTGAATTATTTTATTTCACAGTACTTGGTCAAGGAACAGGGATAGATTGATACTGTTCGAGTCATTACCGCAACAATCTCTCAGATCTAATAGGCGTTCAAAGAGAACTTTGCCATCTGCATTACTCATCACCTTACAATGGCCACTAAAGAAGATATTGAGAACATCAACAAATCCATCGAGGCACTGTCTTCCATGATGCAAACCCTTACCACTAGGGTCACTACCATGGAACAAAACAAGGTCACTGTTTCCACCCTTGACAAACTAAAGGAACAAATGAGTAAGATTTCTGAGGATTTCACTTATGTGGAACGACCTCCCACTCCTTTGGATGTGAAGGACAGACTCCCTGAAAAGTTCTCCACTGCTGATATTCCAAAGTTCAAGCCTACTGACAATCCAATATTCCATTTGAAGGCGTTCTCTGCAACTATGGCTCTTAAGGGATTGGACGTAACACTTTTCCCTACGGTGTTCCCTCTCTCCTTAGAACATGCTTTCCAACAATGGTTTTATTCCTTATACGCGAAGCATATTGCGACTTGGCAAGATGTCACCGACAGTTTCATGAATCGTTACAAGTGTAACATTTAAAATAAAACTTCTGAACGTGAACTCTCCATTCTCAAACAGAAAGAGAATGAAGGCTTCACTGCTTACCTGAACAGGTGGAGGGAAACAGCTTCACTCTTGGTAGATCCTCCCAAAGAAAGAGAGATGGTTCGCCTCTTTATTCAAAATCTGACTCATAAATATAGGGAACATCTCAAATTTCTTCCACTGAACACTTTCGAAGCTGTATACAACATCGGCATCAATATCAAGGATGAGCTAATAAAGACTACTGGTAGTAACAATAATAACACTTGGAAAAACAAGAAGAACGACCATCCTTCTTCTTCTTCTTCTTCTAAGCACGAAAATACTACCAACAATATAAGCCAAGTTGATATCAATGAAGTGTTAGCTCTTGATGCTCCATTGCCCAAGAAGAAAAAATCTTACACTCATATAGGAATGACTTATGATGCGGCCTTTGATCGCCTTTACGGTCAAGGCGTGATCACACCTATTGGACCATTTCCAGATCCAA